GTGTGTGCGCGCGCACAGGAGGGGCAGAGAGAGAGGGAGAAACAGAATCCGAAGCAGGCTCCAGGCTCTAAGCTATTCAGCACAGAGCCCGATGAGGGGCTTGAACCCACAAACCAGGAGATCATGACATGAGCTGAAGTTGAACACTCAACTGAGCCACCCAGGCGCCCCAAATGGCCTTTTAAAAATAAACTCAAATGAAACAAGACAGACGAAATGTTGCCAACTGTTGCAACTAGGTAATGGGTACATGGGAGTTCATTTCTTCTACTTTAGTGTGTGTTAGAAATTTCCCAAAGTGGAAAATTAAATAGTTAAAATACACATTTTAAACAAACTTTAAAATTCACCATCATTAGTTTGAATGCTAAATAAAATTCGTACCTTTCCTTCTGTTGCTTTCTTTGTTGATGAAATTTCCTTCATTAGTTTGGGAATTTCCCTGTCAAATTTGAGAAAATTATTTAGATTTGTAAGGTCTAACTCTTTACAGAAATATATTAACATTACAAAATGTACTTTCAGGTACTTAGTGCCTAAAAAATATGGAATAAGAATTAAAATGGGTTCACATACTCTAATACAACTGCAATATGCCGATGTCGAATTCTGACCCAGAGGTCATCATCTTCTTCAAGGACGGCCTCCTTTTCTTTCCCATCTGTTTTGTATCTACAAGCAGACAGAAATATAAAACTTTTGGATTATCTCCCACCTAAAGTGGAAGAAACATCTTTACAAACAATAATTTTAAGACATAGCTCAAGAAACTGAACAATACATATGTATATTCAATCCATTAATTTTAGGAGGATAATGAATATCTACTCAAAAGTAAGGCATATTGGTATCCTTACATTCAAAATCAAAGTTGTATGTCTACCAAGACATTTTTGCTTTCAAATGTTAGATTCAGCTATATTAAAGAGTTTTAGCTCAGCAAAATGGTACTTTATGAAATATTAAACATTCTACAATCAACTCTAAGAACAAGACTGAATTTATATTAACAATGTGTTCTAATTGCTTAAAATACTATTTTGATGTGCTAATAACCATCAGCACAACTATTAAACACCTATTAAATGTTACCCCTAATGTAGCCTATTAAATACTGAAGGTATTTCAGTTCACATTTTCACAAACATGTATCCAAGTATGTAAAATCATAAACACGTGTCATCTGTTTCTACATTCTTCCCTAATCCTATAACCACATCTCCAATGAAGAATGAGAAAGGATATGAGAGAAAAACTAACGCAGTCATAAAAAATTCTGATTGCCTTAGTAAGTCCTACCGAGGTGAGTAGAAATTCAAGACGTTCATGAAACTACTCAAAATGGGCTTCTTGACTGCCTCCCCAAATGTAACATCTCCCTTCTTTTTTAATGCAGATAGCCTCCTTCCATCTATAGTGCTAAGGAGATTCAATCATCCTTGGAACTGTCAATTTCCTGAGCCAAGATTAGGAAGTACAGCTTTGAACTTTCCCAGCTCTAAACTGCAGATAATAAATATAGATTTCTACTATATGAATATAATCCCACTTCCATAGCTCCAAAAATTACAGGCCCCATGTATAAAACCATTTACCTATGCAGTCTTAATTGCAAATACCCAAAGGTAGAATGAGAGCTTAATCAGAAGATACATTAAGGACACAGAAGCCTATCTGCCATTTAAAATGTAACTTTGTACTTACATAATTCTTTTAACCTTTGATTTATAAACAAAGATTAAGACAGCAAGCCTGACAATACTAAAAGATGATGACAACCCCATTTTAAAAGTACATTTAAAGAAATTACCAATATAAAAACAGAGTATGGATACTTTGAATTTCCTGCTTTGTACTGTCTCCGTTAACAACTGTAATGGAGCACAAACCATAGGGAGTTCAAACTTTCATCTCATTTTATCCCTGGACTTTTTTGATTCATAAAAGGGAATATTGCTGGTGTTTTTGTTTTTTTTTTTGTTTGTTTGTTTGTTTAATAGGTCTCTCCCTTACTCTTAAAAAAATTAAAACTTTCTTTCCTTGCCAGCAAATTTAAAGGGGATGAATATTTTAAATACTAGGTTAGAACTGCCTGAAATGTCTGGAGCCAAGTCCTTCAGTGTCTATTAGTTTCATTCCTTTCTAATCTCTGGAGCAGTGCAGGCTTACAGACCTAAAGGATAACAGAGGTAAACAGTATTATTCTCTCCTGAAAATTCTCAATAAACTGTTTGAAACTACTTTTATGTTAGAAAAATAAGCTATGTTGATTTCTCTATGTCACCAGATGTAATATAAATTACAGGAAGGAAATTCAGAAGCCAGGATTTGACCAGAATGCAAATAAGCATACAATAGAAAATACATAAATATATACAACAGAAAAAAGATCTTTTTAATTTATTAAAATTACTGAAATAATTTACACAAAATTTCAGAAAACTAATTTTCATTTTTACTACTATGCTCAAGCAGTAAATCTTAGCTGAAAAATGCCAATTTGGACTTAGAGATTATGATATCAAATAACATGTAATACACATATGCCTGTACATATATATATACACACTAATAATGACTCACAAAAATACAGTAAAATGGTTCCCTAATAAAAAAATTATTTCACTTTTCATTTAGCTATTTGGCCTCACTTTTAAAGTAAATATGCTTATATCAGAGTTAAGTCAATAGGTACTAAATTAGTTAAGACTATGTCTATTCTCAATAGCTATCCTATTCAGTTTTCCAGTATTCTAATCTTCTTAAAGATATTATGTTGACAAGACATACACACAGATACCTTTGGGTGGGTGATTCAGAATAATTACAGCCTAATAAGTTTGAATATGGTTTCCACTTCAATAAATATAATAGTGGGCCAGGTATTTACTCTTAACATAAGCAAGAAGCCCAAATTCCACCGGTTTAAATGTAGCTTTGTTGTAGACATAGTTAAGGAAGCAACTACATCAAAGAAGCTTCAAAGCAGTCAAATTACCCATTAACTTACAAGGTCAAGGTATTTTTTAATACACTATGATTATAGGGGTAAGAGAATAATAAAGTTTCTGAATAACAAAGTTACAGGGGCATTAGATTTCTGGTGCCTACACAAATCATTAAATGCTCATATCCTATATGCTCTTTGTATATGCCCTTTATATGCCCTTCAAAATATACTTGCTTGTATGTATCATTCTCAATTGGCAGTAGATCATATGCCATTGCCTGAAAGGTCAGTTCATGCAGGACAGTGGACACAGGATCAAAGCCACGATCAATTATTATGAGCTGGGAATGAGTTTTACCCTGGAATAACAAGATAAAATTATCTTCAGAAACTTCAATTTGTGTGAACACCTTGTTAATATCTCAGAAAACAAAAGCAGACTTTTCCTAACTTCTGTCTCATTCTTAAGAATGTGAAGTTCTATTAAAACAGAAAAATTGGAGTGGCACAATAGGGGAAAAACCAAGACTACAAAACTGAAAACTTATAATTAAGGAGCCAAACTTGACATTACAATATTGTGAAAATTTGTTTTAAAAAAGTAACATCTGCCTTGCACTAAACCCATTTTCTTAGGAATTTAGTTCCATAAACATTAAAACTGATATAAATTATGAACAGCAGTCACTACTTAGGCTCTTTGTATTACACATGTGCTAAGCAAAAAAATATATATTACTCAATTCTTATAGCAACCCCATGAGGCAGGTCTTATATCTCCATATGACGAAGGCATTAGAGCTTAAAAGTCAGCAACCTGACTAAATGACATAGCTAGTAAGTAGCAAAATGGAGATTCAAACCCATGTCAGTTTCATTCCATGCCTATGCTCTTAACCATTATGCTATTTAAAAGGATTATACTGATACCAGCTAAGATGGCAAATCAAAATGAAAGCCTTGTTATCATTAATTCACAAACAGCAGTAATTATTAAACAGTGAATAACAGTGCTAGGAAAAGTATTGTTAATACTAGTATCTTTCATATGCTTCATTTTAGAAAATAATAAATTATTTGGATTATTATTTAAAGCAGTCAGAAATAACTACAACTCATTAGATAAATATTTCCTATTTATTTACATATATCAGATATAAGTAAATTACATGAGAAAGACCTTTAAAAATTGTTTTATTTAACATTTACTCATTTAAACCTTGAGACAGTATGATACAGTGGCTAAGAATACAGGCTCTGGAATCACATAGATCCAGGTATCAGCCCAGTCTTGACCACTTTCTTGCTAAATGACTTTGGACAAATTGCTTAACTTAAATATCTCAGTATTCTCATTTGTAAAACAAAATATAACCAGAACCTCTGCTGTACAAGATTATTGTAAAGACTTAATGTAGGGGCACCTGGGTGGCTCAGTTGGTTAAGGGTCTGACTTGGGCTCAGGTCATGATCTCACGGGTCGTGCATTCGAGTTCCGCATCAGGCTCTCTGCTATCAGCACAGAGCCCACTTTGGATCCTCTGTCCTTCCC